AACACTGACACCTCCACGTCTTTAGTGCCTCCTGTTATTGTGAGAGGTACTATGTAAATTCAAGTCTTTTCTTACTTTCTGAGAAGCATAGTTCATGACAGATCTGCACAATGAGTGTTAATTGTGGTGGTAACAGCCAGATCAGTTAGCTGAACGAAGAATGCTTTACTGCCCTCTTCAATTGCTTATGGCCAGAATGTGTGCAATTTTTAAAGAGAACTACATAGCTGGATATAAGACAGGGTGTGACTGCAAGGTCATTTTTTTCAGCTGTTTCAACTTGAGATCATTTATTGTTGCTGCCTTGTGGCTAAATTTTCATATGCATCTTAAAAGTTAATTTAGGATATTTTAATGACTTATGGATGCTGCAAGTTGAATTTAAGTGGTAAAGCAGTTGATTTCAACTACAGTTCTGTGCTTTAGAGCCTGGAAATATCAGTCACTGTAATATTCCAATATTCTGTAGCACCTTGTGACAGTGAACTAGTTGTAGTTTGGAAAGGAAATGAAAGTTAGTTGACTGTGTTTGTAATCATATGATGCCTCATTGCATCCTCAAGTCGTCACAGAACTCCTCCACTCGATTATTTTGCAGCATGGTCAATTGTGTCATTAAAAGTATTAGACAATATGGGCACAGCAAAATCCAATTAACAGCAATTAAGACCATTAACCAATGTGTTTTTTCTCATGTTATTTGCTTTCTTACCCTGTCAGTTGATAAAAGTGTATTGGCCACCTATGTTCCATCTAAGCTGTGCAATCATGCAGCAGATTCTTCCACAAGCCATTAACAATCAGCCCCTGTTGGTTACCGTACAACCATGCAAGAAATGTAGACTTTACTGATTATATTTGAAGAAGTCAGCTGCTCTCCACAGAAAGAGAAGGGGTTTGTTGATTATCATAATTGTTGGCAATCTCTGTCCCAGAGTCCCCCACCAGCTGTTCTACACCAGAATGTTCTAATCTAAACTGGATTATTCTATTTTGAAGGAATCATGGGGTTGCAGTGGGCCAAGCACCTTGGCGATGCAGTGAAGGTCACCATAAATGACATAAACGAGGGCTCTGTGAAGATTATTCGAGAAAATTGTCATCTAAACCGGATGAAGGTGCTATCAAGTAAAAAAGATGAAGAGGAGGATGAAGAGAATATTGAGGAAGCAGAGAATACTTTAGGAACTATTGAAGTCACACAAATGGATGCCAATGTACTCATGCATTTGAGAGCTTTTGATTTCATGTGAGTAAAACAGGTTGTCACAGCAAAAGTTACTGAGAAAGTTGATAAAATGCTTCTTTCTGTGATCATTTCCAGAATAAATTTCAGACCCAGGCTTCTGTATCAGAAGTCCAATTCAGTATACACGTTCGTCAGACAAAAATGCTCCCTGTTTTAAGAAGCAATTGTATTTTTCAGGATAGCATGGTGGCAAAAGTTGTAAGATAGCATTTATAGTTTTGAACAGAACGAGTTCTGAACAAACACAGAAAATGCTGGAGAAACTCTGCAGGTCTGATAGCATGTGTGGAGAGAGAAACAGAGTTAACATTTGGAGGCTGGTGTGCCTTTTCTTCAGAACTGGAAAGAGTCATAAAATGGTGGTTTATATACTTTTGATAGATGTGGCGGAGGAACAAGGGGAACAGATGGTTCGCGGTCCAGTGCAAAGATAAATGGGTTGCTAGTTGGGATGAAAGAGGACTAGATATGTCCTCCAGTTCTTCTGGTTCTCAGACAGCTGAGAACAAGGTAGCAAGACACAGACAAGACAGGATGCGTTGCAGGCATAGGCTGGTTTGGTGGCCGCATAGAAGAATGCAAAAAAATGGAAAACAGACGTCATGAGGTCAGACTCTGACGTTGTGGAATTTAATATTGAATGTGACAAGTAAAATTCAGGGACTAACTTAAGTTGCAGTAGGAGATCTGGGATCCCAGGTTATCCACACCCAACTCCAAACACACAGGTGGAGGGCAGAACAGCAAGTATTATGGCTATGAAGATTATCTAATAGTCAGAGAAAACAACAAAATGAAAAGTACAAAGCACGTCAAAGAACTACTATATCTCAATATAGTCTTTGACAAAGTCTCCATACGATTTTGCCTCCCAGTGGGACGTAAATGATTTCTAGCAAATTTTAGTAATAAGCATTTTCAAGTAAACCAGTGACAAACCAATTGGAATGTTCGTTCACTGAACAGGTTTAATAAAGGAATTAATATGAACATACATAATGAGGTTCTTGAAAAGATTTGAACTGAGATTTTATAAGATCCAAGAGACAAATCAGTGCATTTACTGAATAACAAGATCCATCTCTCCAGTCAAAGGAATAATAAACTTTGGTGTACTCCTACGGTCTTGTATGTCTAATCTGAGTGGTAATCTGCTCCAATCTTACCTTGAGCAGTCTGAGTTGTTTCATTATATTTTCCAGTTGCCTTTGGGAAGTCTGCTACACTTGTTGTAATGTAAGTTAGGCAGGAATGTGGAATAATCTAATCAGCCATGATTTGATTGAATGGCAGAACAGGCTTGAGGGGATCGAGTGGTCTACTCCTGCTTTTGATCCATATCTTATGTGTTCGAAACTTGGTACTCCTTTGTAAAGGGATTTTTAACCAATACTTCTGCAATTTCAATTTGCATTTGATGCATTTGTAAAAATGTCTAAGATTCAAGTTTTTTTCCATTTAATAGCAGGGCATCAAGATAGTCCTACAAATGAAAATTGTTCTCAATGTGCCATAGTTAACAAAAATCTGAGCAGACAAAATTGATCATCTTTTATAAATTGAAATATTATGGCACTCTAGTAATTTTTTGAGTGATTTATTTCCACAACACTGTGATTTGTCAAATGCAGTGGAAAATCACTGTTGACAGTTGGTACAGAGTAACCAGTTGAAAGCAAAATATTGTTAGAGCTGACAAATGTTGCCTATTAGGATCTGTTCATAGTTACTAAAGTATATTCTGCTCCAACTTGTTTAGCATAGTAAAATTATAGTCAGATTATTGATTAGCTACCTAACAAAATTACAGATCAAAAAGTTGCTAAATACATTTGGTTACATTTTGTAACTTGTTTGTGTTAGAATTAATTGAAATTTTTTGAATGTCATACATTTTTAGCTTGTAGTGTTGAATGAGAAATTATATGGCTACACCAACCTCTACTTCACAGGAAGGCAATTTTAACTTTCGATGTCATACTACTGACATTACTGATTTGTCACTCGTACAACATTAAAGTCAATCGAAAATAAATTTGACAGTGTACATCATGGGTGACTGATTCGATAATGGATATTTTGCACCATTAGCAAAAGTTAAGATGATCCCCAATTAGTTTCAAGGCAGCAAATTATTAAGTCTTTCAGAAGGATTTGAGTTTAAAACCCATCTTCTGCTGTAACTTAACTCACTGCTTTAAGTGTGAGAGATTCATTAATGTGGAAGGAAGTGTTCTATTCTGAACTTGATTGAGCCAAAAAAGAGGGAAAAATGAATAATTGTGGCCAGTACACACTCATATCCATTTCCTGCTGTTCACCATTTTATTGATTTACTAATTTTGTGTTATCAATCTCTTTGACTCTGTTCTCCAGAACACATTTACCAAACCCCTGCCTTCCTATCCTTGTACCCTAAAAATTACTTCAAAAATCAAGATGCTATAAAAGTATCTGTTTCAGGGAGAAGTTCCAACAGCAGGTTAACTTGACCTGCCTCCAGTTCAAAAGATGGAATCTGGTGGGGTGAGACAGCAGGAGGGATTTTCTGTGTAAGATATTTTGAGGGGGGGAATAAAAGCTTTCTTTCAAATGTCAGGTAATGAAGATTGCATATTGAATGGAGAGTTCTTATGTCCTCTGTAATTTTTTCATCTTGATGCAGACATTTGGACCCATTTGGAACAGCAATAAATTATTTTGATGCTGCCTTCAGAAATGTGAGGAACCTTGGGATCGTTTCTGTGACATCCACAGACATCAGCACTTTGTACTGCAAAGCCTTAAATGTCACCATGCGCCACTATGGTTGTAACATTGTCCGGACTGAGTACTACAAGGAAGTGGCAGCCAGAATGGTCATTGCTTCTGTGGCAAGGTACTCCTGATTTTTGTTGACATATTATACAAGAACAGACGAGGTTATTCCAAAATGCCTTCAAAGTAACTTTCTAGACTGTTTAATTTAAGGATAATTTTGAAATAAAGTGCCTAAATTTCCCCAAACTTTTATACACTAAATATCTGCCAAGGCTTTTCATATGCAGGCACATTTTTGTATCCATCCTCCGCTCAAATAGGTGTCTCTGACCTAGGATGAACTCAGCCAGTCTATGTGAAGTACATAATTGTTAACTCTCTTTTTTCCCCATTGGCCAAGGAGTGAACAAAATTGTTTGCGTGTCAGTGTGGAGTTGAACCCAATGTGTAGAATCTCCATTATGGTTGTACTAGGAAGTGATTCTATTCTTCATATTCAGAATATGCCAAAAAAAAAAACTAATTCATTGGAAGATTCAGTTATTTGTGCTTACATTTGTTTGTCACAAAGGAGTGTTGCATTAATGGAAAGTTACCAAAGCAGCACAGCCCCATTCATACCAATGGACGCAATTCTGTTTTCCAGACAGACAGGCTGTTTGTTCACATATCTTCATTTCAGTTGAGTTATTTTGTGATCACCATTCTGTCTATTCTGTTTACGCCAGTTTGAGACGCTTGCACTTTGCTGCTAATTTGTGTGATATCTTACAATGTTGCAAAATTGTGACATGTAATCTGATATATCCGGGTCACTTGGAAGTCTGCCAGCCAAGCTTCTGCTATACTGAAATGTATAATATTTTTAGCTGAGATCAGTAAAATAAATATGAATTTTAGAAGAAATCATGTTTTATTTTTGTTGTAGGGCTAGTGCCTGAGAGAAATCTGTAGTAATTAGAAACATTATTGCTGTATTTTAGGCAATAAATAATTCTTTGCATTTTCTTAACCTGGCATTCTCTGGAATTCCTGGAACAACTTGGAATTCCCTCCCTAACAGCATTGTGGGTCAACCTACTGCAGCAGTTCAAGAAGGCAGCTCACCACCACCTTCAAGGGCAACTAGGGATGGACGACAAATTTTCTGAAGAAGGATCTCGACCGGAAACGTCAGCTTTCCTGCTCCTCTGATGCTGCTTGGTCTGCTGTGTTCATCCAGCTCCACACCTTGTTATCAATGGACAATAAATGCTGGCCAGCCAGCAATGCTCAATCCCACAAATGAATAGAAAAAGAAATTCTGCTTTTTGCAAGAAAAATATAGAACACAATGACTGAATTGTGATTATGTGGCCAAACCAAGTACTTACAGTAAAAGTCACTGACCCCCATGGATATCAGCATTTGGGGCGCAAAATAAGTCTTTTATTTGCATTTGATTCCAGGGATGAAAATGTTGTCCTTCGTATGGCTAAAGTGCCAACATTAGAAAATTTTGAATTGCTCCAATCAAGTGAGTGTCCAATCATGGGTCCGAAACAGCTCTTGCCAATGTCCACAGTATCATCCTGTGTGACGAACACTGTGGACTACACCATCTTCCCCTAAAGTAATGCTTTACAATTCTGACCTAATTTCCTTCACTCCACCATTGGCTGCCATTCCTTCAGCTATCTGGTCCATAAGCTCTGGAATACCCTGCCTAAACCTCAACAGCCTATCATTCCTCCTCCTAGACACTCACCTGACTGTGTGTAAATACCTAACTTCTTGTGATGAGGTGACCAATAATGATGATGTAACGTGCTTTTTGGGAAGTTTTATTGTCTTAAAAGACGTTACATAAATACAAGTTGTTCTTGTAAAATCACTGGTCCCCACAGCCTCCCCATCCCCTCAAACTTCAATCTGTGATTGCAGACTCACTCTGGGAGATACAGCGACAACTATATTGTAACAGGAAACACCTGCTACTTTGTCTCAGACAGGAAGCAGCTCACTCAGAGAGAATCTATATTTTCAAATTTAGTGTCAACTGCATACTGCCACCTCTCCCTCCGCCACTTCCAGACTAGAACCGCTGCACCTACACGTAGCCCACACCATGTACAATCCAAATTCAAACACCTGAACCTCGACCTGTATACATCCCAAACTAATTCCACTATCCTGCTCTCTCCCCATAACCCTGCATCAATTCCCAAACTAATCCCACTGGCCCGCACTCCCTCCATAGGCCTGTATCAATTGCAAATTAATCCCAATACCCCACACTCTCCTCATAGCCCTGTATTAATTACAAACTAATCCTACTGTTGCATACTTGCTGTATTTTCTGTATTGTTTTGAATAACTTTAAAAGCGATGCAATTGTATTGGAGAAGAAAGCAAACTATGAAGATATGCGTGCAAAGTTAGACATGGCATTTTTGGGAAACTATTCAAAGGCCTGATGGTAGACCAACAATGCCTAACATTTAACTGGAAAAATAGTATCAGGAGTAGACTGTACAGCCTGTCCAAACCTGCTTTATCATTCGGTACAATCGTAGCTAATCTTGAGCTTCAACTGCGCTTTCTTCCCTGCTCTCTATATCCCTTGATCTCCTGAGAGGCCAAAAATCTGCCTATCTCAGCCTTAAATTCACATGGGAACTCCAGAATCATCTGGTGAATTCCAAAGATTCACAATCCTTTCAGCGAAGAGACTTCTTGTCAGAGTCCTGCATGATCAGCCCTTATCCTGAAACCATGGTCCCTTGTTCTAGCCATCCCAGCCCAGGGAGTAGGGGAAAATGGCTTCAGTGTTGACCTTGTCAAATCTCTTCATAATTTTATACGTTTCCACGAGATCACCTCTCGTTCTTCTAAACCCCAGAGAACATTGACACCATTTACTCATGTTGTAGGACAGCCCTCTCATCCCAAAGACCAACCAGATGAACCTTCCTCCTTAAACCAGGAGATCAGTACAGCACACTACTCCCACATGATGTCACATCAGAACAGCACACGGTAAAAGTGCAGCAAGACTGCCTTCTTCCTGTTCTCCAATCCCGTTGCAATAAAGACCAACATCCAGCAATTGTGCTGTTTTGAAGCTTCACAAGTTGCACCCTGTGATTGACTGCCTGCCTAGAAATTGCCTCAAAAAAACTCTAGGAATAGCAGATGCCTAACATGATGGCATAGTAATAATGTGCAGTACTATTACAGAGAAGAGGTGGAATAGATCCTGCAAAAGTAGATAATGCTCTGTCAATTAAGTCTTACAAAAAAAAACTTGATAAAATATCTTCTTGGGAAAAGGCCTGTAAATTGTTGAGTTAAGTGAATCATACACAGAAGGAGGCCATTCAACCCTTTGTGCTTGTGTTAACTCTGTGAAGGCGCTATCCCATTAATCCTCACTGCTTCATTCTCTGCTGAGAATCCTAAAGTATTTTTGCCCACAGGTTTTTTATCCTTTAGGATGTTACAATTGAATGTGTTTCCAACACCCTTTCAGGCACATATTCCAGATCAGTATAAAGCCACAAAAAAACCACCTCCGTTTCTGTTGCCAATTATCTGAGATTGTGGTATGTGGCCATTTTGGAAATGAATTCGATTTATCTATTGTGACCCATCCATGAATCACACGAGTTGAGACCTAACAACACACAATCTGTTTTTCTTCGGCAATCTGTGGTGACAACATCAAAATATTTAAAGAAATGTTGATCAAATGAATACTCCAGCACCCTGAACACTGGGAATGTAATGTTGACATAGATTCCAGAGGCCTCTCACAGCCATTCTCCAGCCTCCTTCAAACTGGAATCCAGGGAGTTCGTCCTCATTTATAGAAATTGCCCCAAGACTGGAATTGCCTGAGGTCAGGGGTCTCAAATGATGAAGGACCTTTCCACTTTGAAAATACCACCTGATTCTGTGTAAACAAAATTACAATTACATTCCCCTTGCAATACATCCCATTTTTAGCTTGTCAACTATGTTGTTTGATTTTGACTCTACCTATCTTTTCAAACCCTTATTTCCCCAATGTATTCAGGATTAAGCCCTTTTAGCAATTTGTCTTTTGGCTGAAGAGTGGAGATGTTGCTTTCAATTTCTTCTACCCTAAAACTATGTTGTTTTGTACTCAAATAAAAGGCATTAGACATTGTCCAGCTGAGATATGCTGGTGTGGGAGAAGGACTTTGAGATTCTGAGGCCCGTGAGCAGGTCACACTGCGATCACGGACAATGCCTGCCTCATTTCGCCAGTCAGACGGGATTTGGGCGGCAAGGGGGGGGTGTTGTGGAATCGTGAGGGCTGCAGCAGAACAACCTGCTGCAAGGGGCTGTATCGCCGAGACCATTCAGGCATGTTAATGCCTACTTTCAGAAGCTGACTGGAGCTTTGGAAAACAGGCTAACTGCTCAGGGCCCAGTGAGACTTTAAGATGCTCCCTCCCAGCCTTCATCAGCTCTTAGCTGCAAGCTACCATGTGAAGGGCACATCCTTCCACACTGTGGATTGGTTTATCGTTTAATGTTTTAAAATGATAGAAGGGAGTCTCTCAGTCGCAGCTGAAAAGGCAGCTTGGTGCTTCTTCAGTGGTAGAAAGCCTCATAGAAACATAGCAATGAACTCTGCTCTTATTTTCTCAGACCATCGAGTATAGGAGCTGGCACATCATGTTGAGGTTATGCAGGACACTGGTGAGGCCACCTTTGGAGTACAGTGTACCGTTCTGGTAACCCTGCTATAAGAAGGATATTATTAAATTGGGGAGAGTTCAGAAAAGATTTATCAGTATATAACTGGGACTGGAGGATTTGAGTTATAAGCATAGGCTCGGGCGTTTTTCACTGGAGCATAGGAGTTGAGAGGTGACCTTGTAGCAGTTTATAAAATCATAAGGGGCACGGATAAGGTGAATAGCAAAGGTCTTTTCCCAGAGGTGGGTGAGTTCAAAACAAGGGGGCATATTTTTAAGGTTTGAGGAGAAAGATTTAAAAGAAACCTGAGGAGCAAGTTTTCCACACGGAGTGGTTCGTATATGGAATGAACTGCTAGAGGAAGTAATAGATGCAGTTACAACATTTCAAAGACATTTGGATAAGTACATAATTAGGAAAGGTTTAGAGGGATATGAGCCAAATGCAGCCAAGTGGGACTAGTTTAGTTCGGGAAACTTGGTTGGCATGGACTAGTTGGACCAAAGGGTCTCTTTCCATGCTGTATGGCTGTATGACTCAATGACTCTAAATGTTATTGTGAAAAAGTAAAAGCTGATGATGTAGGGGGTAGCATATTGGTATGAATAGAAGATTGGTTGACTAATAGGAAGCAGGGAATAAATGGGCCTATTTCAATCTGGCAAAATATAATTAGTGGTGTGATATTGAGATCAGTGCTGGAACATCAACTGTTTACAATTCAAATAAATGACTCGCATGTCAGAAAAGAATGTATGTTTATCAGATTTACTGATAACACAAAGATAGGTAGGAAAGTAAGTTGCGAAGAAGGCATAAGGAAGCTACAAAATGCTGTAGATGGAGTAATTAAATGAGCAAAGATATGACAAATGGAGTATAATGTAGGAAACTGTAATTGTCCCTTTTGGCTGGAAGAATGAAAAACCATAATCAAAAAATGGTGAGAGACTTCAGAGCTCTGAGATACAGAGGGATCTGGATCCTTATGCACGTTATAAAAGGTTAGTAAATAATAATAATGTTATCAGTTCTACTGAAGGGGATTGAATACGAAGTTAGGGAGGCCAATACTTAATTTATACAGGGCACTGATGAGACTACGTTTGGAGTATTGTGTACAGTATTGGTTATCTTATTTAAGGAAGGATGTAAATGTGTAAGAGGCAATTCAGAGAACACGTACTAAACTAATACCTGGAATTGGTGGATTGTCTTATGCAGCAAGATTGGACAGGCTAGGCTTGTATCTGGTGGAGCTTGGAGTAAAGTGACTTGTTCAAAACAGATATGATCCTGAGGGGTCCTGATAGGATGGATGTAAAAATGCTTTTTCCTTTTATGGGAAACCTGGAATCACTGTTTAAAAGGTACAGGTGACCCATTTAAATCAAAACAGAGGCTTCTCTTACACACATGGATCAACAACCTTTGGAATTCAAAATGCAGTGCAAGTGTTTCAATGTTTTTAATGCACAATCGGCTAAATTCTTGGTAAGCAAGGAGATAAAAGCCAGCAGGAGTAGATAGAAGTGCAGGTGTGATGTTACAATCAGATTATACATGATCATCTTAAATGGCTGGCCAGAATTGTTGTCTCCTCCTTGTTCGAATATATAGAGTTTGCAAGATAGTTTCAGTTACTTTGTAACTGAGGGATACTTTCCTGCTCTTTTAGTGCTGATCCATTTTGTTCCATCTGGGTTAAGAAATGGAGATGTGGTTTCAAGTTTCTTTTATCTTTACTGTTCCTCTGGATTATGGTTGCCAGCCACCAACTCTGCTATGATGCAGAGAACTGTGTTATCTCATGAGACAGTGCAAGAATGATATGTGTAATACACTCCCAACATTGTTACACAATGCATGATAGAACACCTTATCTCGAAACATTGACAGCTGTATCATAACAGGACGCCTATTATGGAAAAATTCAACTCATGTTCTGTGAGATTTTATTGGACCTGGCGTGCAGTTCTATTGTGCTGCAGCACCAATCAAACATCAATAGTAGACCTCATAGTAGAAGCAGAAAATAAGATACTCTTCTTAACCAGTCTTACTTTGTTTTCTTCTGCTATGTTGGGTGTTTTCCTGCAGGGCTGCTGCTCGCTGTAACAAGGGTATTGAGGTTCTGTTCAGTGTAGCACTGGAACACTTTGTTCTGGTCGTGGTACGCGTACTTCGAGGGCCAACCCAGGCAGATGAAAGCCTGAAGAAAATTCGTCGGTTGATCCATTGTCAGTGGTGTGAAGAGCGGGTTTTCTACAAGAAGTGCCACATGCTAGAAGGTAAGACTCCCTTTAAAACTATGCAACTAGCTGAAATGATAGAATTGACATGAAGTCCATGTTGACAAACACACACAACATGATGTTTTGTCAAAAGCCCCACGTTAACGATTCAAGCATTTCCAGTACTTTTCAAGGATCCACTTTGCATTGTGGTGATGAAGTGGCTGATTCTGTCCGTACATGCTTAGTGAGCTTTATAAGTAAGAGATATTCAGCAATGACAGAAAACTCGTGTTTCAGCTTAGTTCACCAGCCCCATCGTAGATTTTAACTGAGGGCTAATTATACTTTGAATTACAGTTGTGTTTGAAGCTGAAGATTTTAGTTCATTATGTCAGAAGCACTTATTAGAGCTGCGTGCCATTCAAACAAAAAATTCAGTGAACGTTTGTGCATTTTCACCAGCAATAATTACAGAAGACCAGAACCAAATGTAATAAACACTCCTCTCCATGGATTCCTGAGGTATCAAAACAGATTCTCGATTTGGTCTTATGAACATATAAGTTTTGAGTTAATGCCATATAATATACACTGTAGTCACTCTGAAAATTGATTAATGACTATGGTTTTTGTCTTGTAAGAAATCATTGGTCTGTTTAGAAACTGATTTAGTGTTGTATTTTTTTCAGAGAATGTATACAGTCAGCTGCCCTGTGACTGTCATGGAAGTATGCCAGGAAAGACCGCGGTGGAACTTGGACCATTGTGGTAGGTTTATTTCTTGTGATTAAGAATAGCGTAATTTACAAAATCTTTTTCTGCCTTCCTATCAACACTGCTGAGAAATGGAAATTTTCAATGTTCTACACAAATAGTTTGTCCACCATTCCCAACAAAATTGAATACAGATATGGTGCCTATTTGCTATTTGATGAAAGAATTTCCAAGTCATAATGTGCTTTCCAAATGAATGTTTCAATTTCTTGTGGCAGTTGCATAAAGGTAGCCAAATATGGAAGAGTTGAAGGCACATTTTGGCTTTGATTCAGGTACTGGGAGCTGGTCTAAAGTATCCATATTCCTTTCACAGAAGATTGTTAACAAGTCTTTGAAAAGCAGACATAGGCATCTGCCTGTGCCATGTTTATGTGTGTGTTTGAGAGGTGAAAAAATGCCATGGTTAGGACAGCCCTGGTTTAAACAAGTTTTGCATCAGTCCACATCTAATTATCTCAAGACCACATATAGAATTTTAATGTTTCTGTTGCATTTATCTCAAGTTTCTGATGATAACAGATCTTACCATTCTGATTTAAATTTTATCAATCAACGAGACACTGTCAATACTCTTTTCAGACCCCTAAGATAACAAAAATAATTAAGCAAGCTGGAAAGAAAGGAATGGGAATACTAATAGAACCGAGTTCTGAGGAAGGGTCACCAGACCTGAGACATAACTCTGTTTTCTCCTTCACAGATGCTGCCAGACCTGCTGAGCATTTCCAGCAACTTTGTTTTTGTTCCTGATCTACAGCATCTGCAGTTCTTTCGGTTTTTAACGAATAGAACTGAGTTGCCTTAGCTTCAAAAACTGTAGTTTCAGTGGTCAGGAGCTACAAATTACCCTAGTGCTGAAGGCTACCTACCCCTGTCTTGAATTTAGTCCGCCATTTACCTCCAAATGTCTAGCAAATAAAGTATAATGTGGATAAATGTGCAGTTTATCTACTTTGGTAGTAAAAGGCAGGAAGGCAGATTATTATCTGAATGGTGGTAGATTGGAAAGGAAGAGGAAGGTCTTGGTACGCCAGTCACTGAAAGTAAGTATGCAGGCGCAGCAGGCGGTGAAGAAGGCAAATGGTGTATTGGCCTTGTTGGTGAGGGGATTCAAGCACAGGAGCAGGGATGTCATGCTGGAGTTGCACATGACCTTGTTACCTGAAGAAGGATGTTCTGGCTATGGAGAGAGTGCGGTGAAGGTTTATCAGACTGATTCTTGGGATGGCAGGACTGAAGTATGAAGCAAGACTACATCAGCCTATATTCACTGGAGTTTAGAAGAATGAGGGGTGATCTCACAGAACCCTATAAAATTCTAATAGTCTAGACAGAATAAATGCAGGAAGGATGCTCCCAATAACCAGGTATTGATAACCAATTGTTTGGAGGGACGATAGAATCAGACATGACAGTTGTCAAAGCTTAAAAAGTTGTTAAAGGATAATTTCCAAAATCTATAAAAACTAGCATTGGGTTTGTTAGAAATAATTCTGTACTGCTAAATTAAGGAATTAGATCTCTTTGCTTGTAATTCCATGATCATTGTGAAATGAACGCTAGGGCTGCAAGTCTTTAAGGTTAACATCAATGTATCACAATATTGACTTCACTTCGGATGTACATCATCAGTTGTAAATCACTTTGGAACATCCTGAAAATTGTGAATGGCATAGAATAAATACAAGACATTTTATTACAACAATTGATGTTCTATTTTGCATCTTCAAGAAATGACACTAAATCCTGTTCAGAGTGCAAGTTGCAAGTCAGTGGTATGTATTGTAATAATTGTCTAAACCAGCAATTTTCAAACTTGTAGCTCCAAATGATAGTAATGGCTATCCACAACAGAAAAGAATCCAGAAATCTTCATGCACAGCAACAGAAACTGTAGGCAACTGAGTTTAAAAAAAAAAGCAGAAAGCGTTAAAGTTGATTCAGAGATAGTGGGAACTGCCAATGCTGGAGAATCTGAGATAACAAGGTGTAGAGCTGGATGAACACAGCTGGCCGAGCAGGAAAGCTGACGTTTCGGGTCTGGCCCCTTCTTCAGAAATGGGTGAGGGGAAGGAGATTCTGAAATAAATAGAGAGGGGGGAGGTGGATGGAAGATGGATAAAGGAGCAGATAAGTGGAGAGGAGACAGACAGGTCAAAGAGGCGGGGATGGAGCCAGTAAAGGTGAGTGTAGGTGGGGAGTTAGGGTGGGGATAGGTCAGTCCAGGGAGGATGGACAGGTCAAGGGGGCGGGATAAGGCTGGTAGGGAGGAGGTGGGGTTGGGACTTGAGGTGGGAGGAAGGACGGACAGGTTAGGGAGGCGGGGACAAGCTGGGCTGGTTTTGGGATGCGGTCGGGGGAGGGGAGATTTTGAAGCTTGTGAAGTGCCAAGTGGAGGCTTGGAGACCACTTTGTGGAACACCTATGCTCGGTTCGCGACAAGCAACTGCACCTCCCAGTCGCGAACCATTTCAACTCCCCCTGTCACTCCTTGGATGACCTGTCCACCCTGGGCTGCCTCCAGTGCCACAACGATGCCACCCGAAGGTTGCAGGAACAGCACCTCATATTTCACTTGGGAACCCTGCAGCCCAATGGTATCAATATGGACTTCACAAGCTTCAAAATCTCCCGTCCCCCGACCACATCCCAAAACCAGTCCAGCTTGTCCCCACCTCCCTAACCTGTCCATCCTTCCTCCCACCTATCTGCTCCTCTCACCTCAACCTCCACGCCCACCTCCTACCTACCAGCCTCATCCCCGCCTCCTTGATCTGTCCGTCCTCCCTGGACTGACCTAACTCCCCACCTACGTTCACCTTTACTGGCTTCATCCCCGCCTCTCTGACCTGTCTGTCTCCTCTCCACCTATCTGCTCCTTTATCCATCTTCCATCCACCTCCCCTTCTCTCTCTCTTTATTTCAGGATCCCCTTCCCCTCCCCCATTTCTGAAGAAGGGTCCAGACCCGAAACGTCAGCTTTCCTGCTCCTCTGATGCTGCTTGGCCTGCTGTGTTCATCCAGCTCTACGCCTTGTTATCTCAGAAAGCGTTGAAATTGTCCAGCTGCTAATTGAGAGCCGAAGAGTCAAGTTTGCTGATTGCCTGTATATTTCAGTCAATTTATATCCTCAACAGTGCAAATTGATTCTTAATTGACATGTCCCACAGTACTTTCAGAAGCTGCCCAGCATAAATTTTCACGTCTTATGAATCTGGCCTACTCAACAATCAGTAACCGAGACTTTGAATGTTGCAGTCTAGCACACTGAAATTATTTTCTCTGAACTGTTTTCCCCTTGTTACAGTTCACCTCACCTTCAAAAAGCTTTTCAAAACTGTTCTAATAACTCAATAGAATTCATCCCTTTACTCTTTTTAAAAAAAAACACCTACGTAAACTGAAAACAGTTCCATAACTTAATATAGAAGTGATTGCTTAACAATATTGGAATGGCTTGAAGATCTCAACTTGGTTCCATTGGTATTCTATGTAATGAAATCATGAAGGAATCAAAAAGGTGAAAAAAAAAGTAATTTGTCAAAAAAAAAACAAGTGCACATTTATTTTACATGAGTTGCTACAGCCTACACCCCCATTCTTACGGAAAACAAATACTGCATTCCCATTTGGCTGAAGTGGTTGATCTGATCAGCAGCACCTGTTTTCACGCAGGTGAAGCCATTTCGCTTCTTGACATTTTCAAGTTATAGCACTGTGTGATAGCTTATCCCAAGATAGTTTGTTGAGTGCAGGTTTCAAATTATTAGCACTGCCATGTTGTGATTCCGAAACAGGACTTGGGGAATTACTTAATTCTAATTGCGAAGAAAACCTTTTCTACTAACATTTTCGCACATCTATGTAGATAATCAATTAAAAAATAAACGTTGCTGAAATGGGCTATTACACTATTGTGATCAATGTTCCCTTTCATTTTCCTTTGAGCAAGGCCTGTTTGTTGCACTGTGTGGTCCCTTTAAGATTGTAGTGCAGCTTTTCTTCACATATCTTAAAGGAGTAGTTCTTATGCATAGCCAGTCCATCCTTTCGCAAAAAGTTCTGAACTCCTGCATAGCTCCACACCATGAAGGGAGCACTGCTTGGGATGCCCTGGTATGTGCATCTCGTTTTGATTTAATTCACAATTATTCCATTTCCACATTTGTTTTTAAACTGCTAGTTTTCTTTTTGCATTTTCTATTTTGAATGTTTTGATTTTTGTGGCTTATTAGGTATGTTCCCATACAAACAATAGATTTAATAATTAGCATCGCTTCAATTTATGTACTTGTCATCCTTTTTAGTCAGATTAATATTTTATCAAGAAGAAACAAGTCCAGTGAAGGCAGTAGTATAATCTGATCAGATCTGTAACCTTTATCCTGTGGCCAGATTTGTTAGCACTAGAATTAAATAACTTTGCAAATCCAAGCTGTGCCTATCCGAAGGCAGCTCCATATTCATAGAATGATGTACTTTATTTTAAGACAATTCTCTGTTTATTATTTATGGTACAGTGTGTGTTCTTTGTATACATGTTTAGGCTTAACCACAAATGGCAAACTGAGAAATTTTCCATTGAGTTGTGAAAATTATGAAGCATTAATACACTTGTTATTAGATTATGTCTGAAGCTGAAATAAAAGTTATCTTCCTCTCAAAAGTGCTCAACTCTTGACATATTTTAAAGTTGGTAATTATTCATGTACTCTGCTTGCTAAGTATGTAGGATTTTTTCCACTTTACAAGTTGATATTTCTTTCTTGATAGCTAAATTGTAAACCATACTTCTGATTAACAATAATTGTGTGATATATTTTACTCTGTCATATGCACTTAGTGTTTTACTTCGTATGTTAACAGAGTTGGATACTGTATCCTAAAACTCCTTTTTACAACAAGGCCGGTAACATAGCATCTGAATACTGCATGTCCTATTGTATGCCAGCCCAGTTTTTTTTCTTGTCGAGTCTAATAGTATAATTCAGCATTCACAATGAATGGCAATGCTAGGTTGATGGGGAATCCACTGTCACTCCACGTCTTTATTCTTTTCAGGGAAAATAGGGTAATCAGCCTTAGCCTAGAATCACAAGAAGCTTTATAACAGTGCTTAGCTTTTTCTGGTGATGGTTGTGTTAGAGAAAGAGGTAAATGGGGCAAATAGGCACATACTGTGTTGCAAAACCAAATACTCATGATGCTGGAAATCGGAAATATAAATATAGAATGTTAGAATTACTCAGCAAGTCGAGCAGTATCTATGGAAAGGGGACACAGTTGTCATTTAGATCAATGTCCCTTCACATTTGATGTCACCTATAGTTTATTTGTAGTATATATCTGGATGTAAAGATCAATAAACTGTGAGTAGACTTCCATCTAAAAAAGATGGAAACTATAGTCTAATGATGAATCTCTATATATTTTCTTCTGTGTTTATTCTGGCAATTGGTTGGGGCTGTGCAAGCGTAATTGGGAAAATCGGTTGAACTTCTCCACAATGGCAAATTAACTTGCCCAAGTCAGGAGAATGCCTCTTTAAGATCTTTGATCTTTTTCATTAAGCACCACTGGGACAGCCGGACAGCATTTGGTCCTCCCTCTTTCACCTGCCGTTGCTGTGTGGTCCCGAGGAAGAAAAGCAGAATAACAAGGGTCTTGCTTAAAATTCATCTGTTTAAATTTCTTTTGTTTCGTAAGAAGTACAGATGTATTGATTACTGGCCATCGATAAACGGATCTGAGAGTATATAAGCATTTCTCGTATCATCAGTGGCACTCTTTATAAAAGCTAATGGAATTTTCTGTGACTCTGTGGTTGTTTAGAAAGACGGAATTTAGGTGCACCATGTTCTTTACAAATCATTAATTCTTTAGTGCTAGTATTTGCAACATTTAACGTGTGATCCATGGTTGTAGTGTTTGTACCTTAGTTAGAAGGTGGTTGCAGTAGGATTAAAATTACACTATATTGACAAACAGTGGATAGAGAATCTTGACCTTTTGACATAACTTTTGTTTGTTTCTTGACTTCTGTTCAATTTCAAGGGCAGGCTCGTTGTTTAACACAGGCTTCTTGCGAAGAATGTTGTTTGAAGCAGTGCAGCATGGAATTGAAGATATCCAGCCTCTGCTGAAAAACTTGGTTTGTGAATCTGAATGCACAACCCTGAAGCACCATTCAATATTTGGACCAATGAGCTACAGCAATCAAGGTCAGTTCACCCAGTAATATAGTTTAGTAAGGATTTCGAAAGTGGAAATGTCAAGCGATTTAGAGGAACTTCAGTGGAAGAATCAGTGTTACCACTAATTTAGGTTTTGATTGGGTGGTTTCAACCTAGGCAACATTCAGGAAAACTATACCTGGCCTCATTGTTCCTGATTAGAAAGGAGAAAATGCAACAAGAATTGTCAATCCTGATTAAGAGCATCATTGTGAGCATTAGGTAGAGGAAATATCAGATTCCATTACATGACCCTGTGATGCTTTTGCCTGACAACACTCGTGTCAAAGGCCAACTGAAGGATTGTTGTTGAGCCAATTACAAGAAGAGCTCTGATAATTTGCAGATCACACCCCGGTGTGCCTGAGTCATAGGCAGGGAAATGTTGTTAGGGTAGGAAGAATATAGTTTGCGATCATTACTTCTTGGAGGCAAAGGGCCAAGGCTTTTTGTGCATCAGTTGCTGATTATTGTGATTGCTTTACAAACATGAATCATTTGTTGTGGGTGAAAGAATGCATAAACACCACCAAACATTGTGGTTATTTTGTAACATAGTCAGCACAAAAGGCACTCAGAATTGAATACAAAAGTTGCTGCTAACTTTACAAGATATATGATAAAAGTCAACTAACAGCCTGAATTGATTTGGAGACTGTAGACTTATCACAGGGTTTAGGTATTACATGCAATTCACCAGCATTTCAACCCTGTAGTAAGATTAGTGACTTATATTTATCCATTATTTTTGATAATTACAGATTCTTCTTTTCACAAGTTGCTTTCGAGTACAGAATAGTTTCTGACCTAGCTGCCAGTTTCCTGCCTGTCTATGACTTGCCCACGTTACGTAAACAGCTCTCAAAACACTGACCAGTTTGAATCTGCTAAAATGTTGCCCTTACCAATTCAACATTCAAAATAATATGAGCTTTAATTTATATTCTTTTAAAATGTTTATTCCTTCTAAAGTATTTTTGTATGTTGTATTTGGTAGCATGTTTTCTCTCCCTAATTGATTTTGCATATGCAGTCTTCTGTGTCCATTTTGGATTTATCTCTTGGTTGTGCTTGCTTTCCTCTCTGGGGAAAAAACACTTGTGTTCACTTTAGTTTACCAAAGCTATTACTAGCACAGTATGACGAGTAATATTATCAAACCAGCTTGGTTTGATGGTAGATGTCTTGCCTCTTGATTCAGATTGAAAATTCACATCCATCTGCAGGAGTTGAATACATAGTTTAAGACATTTTAATGCCTTATTGAAAGAGTGTTGCATTGTTGGAAGTGCCTCCTTTCAAAAGAACCATTAAACCAAGGCCCACTGACCTGTTAGTGTTGTTGTAAAATATTTCATGACACTATTTGAGGAACAGCAGTTGGGTAACGACTAACATTTCAGCAGGACAGGATATCTACTCATTTTTTAACCAATGTAATAATAATAACTATACTTCAAAAGTAATTTGTTGACTCTAGACTGGGTTGGACTGCCTGAGGATATGAAAAGAATATGTATAAGTTCTTACTATTATATATACATATGAAGGACCCTATTAAAAAAATCTATATGATGTAAGGTAGAAACCCTCCAATTGATGTTCAATACATCTCCATTTTAATTTACCATGGCTCAGCTGAAGCTGAAGTGTTATTAAGTCTTTCATTTACACAATTGGGAGCTATCTCAGTGAATCCAGTATTTAATTTCAGTTGACAAAACCAAGTATATACAAGGGTAACTGTCAGTCTTACCTTTCCAGTTGAAGATGCATCCCCCACTTGTTCCCTCAGCTGCTTCTCTCAGAAAAGTAGGCCTCACTGACAGCAGTGATATTACTTATTAGCTTGTAATATTGTGGCTGTTCTTCCTTGACAGTCGCTCTTGAGATTATCCATGAAGGTTCTAACATTCCAAGTCGCAAAATGTTGAGTTTTCTTTCTTTGGGGGTGTTTACTGCGCTCAGCAATCAGTAGCATTTGTTTTCCTCAAAGTCTTCAGGATTCCCAGCTTGTTTACCTTGTTGGGACTGGTGCTGCTAAATTAAATCTTCAGATCTCATGTTTTCACCATTTTGTATGTGCTGCCATTTGTATCTTCTAAGTGAAAGAGTTTTTAAGGACTATGTGGTCCAGTGTGTGTGAGTAGCGACCTTCTTTTTTAATAAGCAGAGTATTGTAGAAACAAAGTAGTTCATTGCGTCTCCCAATCCGTATAGGTTCTAAGAATAGACTGTACATTGACGTAAAGACCGTTGGAAAGACCCATCCATAGGTCCATCTCCCATGAAAACCTTCCTTTTCTTCACCAAGTCTTTATAACATCATCATTTGGGATGCTGCTTATGCACTGAAGCCCTCTCAAACCCACGTGCAATAAATCTGACCTTTTGCATTCATTAAGAAAAAATGGCAAATCTTACACATACCAATTTCTTTGTATGAAATATATACATAAAAGACTTTGTAATTTTCTGTTCCTGACAAAGCCAGATTGTGCAGCGTTCTTTTAAGATTTCCAAATGACTCTAGTTATGCTGTCATTTGCAGCTGCTAGTCTATCAGGTCCACAAAGCAGAACTGTTTGATTGGGCATCAGAGTGATAATGGGATGGGTATCACAGACTCGTCTTGCAATCCAGAATCATTGCTTGACTAGTTGACACCAAAACAAAATATGTTGTGATTGCTTCATCTTTGAAATACGTTCATCTTTTTTATCCTGTCCAAATTGGAAACCATTCATTTACCCAAGACTGATCTATCATTTAATGAGACTGAGTGATCTAAACCCAAACACCTTGTATCCGCCTTGACTACTACTATGCTCCTGTGTAGCAAAAATGTAATAACTTCTGATTTAAGATATTAATTTAGTTAGCACTTTGCTTTATGTAGAGAGTGATGCACACTTTCTACCATTCTTTACATGAGAAAATGCTTCCTAATGTCCCTTGCCAATGGCCTGGCTCCATTACCAAACACTCTGAAGTTTTACTTGCAGCACAGCATTATTAACCAGGAGGAATTATGCAACCAGTCATTCAAAATAGTGACAACTTGCCCACAACTTGTGGGAGGTTGATGTGATCATATTTCCTACTTTTACAATGTTGATTGCAATTCAAAACTACTTGAGATGCTGTAGATCAGTTTGCGACATCCTAAAGTCATGATGAAAGGTGCTTTTTAAATGAGAGGAATTTTTAGCAGCATGCAATTAGATTATGACCCTGAATGATAAGTTGAACTGTACCCATCCTATTGTATGATGCAGATTGTATGTCACTGAGTTGCTTCATAAGGGTAATAGTGAGCAAAATAAATTAATGCTCAATGTAATTGCCAATGGTTATTTCAGTGCTGCTTTTCTTTCTCCAGAGGAAAGTGGAGTTGTTATCAAAACATCAGCCTCTCATAAACCTGGAGTTGAAGATACAACCACTCCAACTTGTTCTGGGCTTGGTAAGCATTTTATTGAATGAAATTTGATGGTAATGTAAAGCAGTGAAAATAAAGAAAATGCTAGAGATCGTAGCAGGTCAGACAGCATCCATGGAGAGAAAGCAAGCTAACATTTCGAGTCTAAATGATTCTTCATCAGAGCTCAAGTGAAGTGTAGAGAGGGTAGCATTTATACAATACCGGGGAGAGGGTTGGAGTGCTGATCACTTAATCTGAACTATTAACACCCTTTCTCCCCCAGAACTTCAAAGCACCCCCCAACTGGTTGCGTAAGTGCTGCCACCTCCACACTTCACTTCAGCTTTGATGAAGAGTCTTTTAGACTCAAAGCATCAGTTTGCTTTCTCTCTACAGATGCTGCCTGACTTGCTGTGATCTCCAGCGTTTTTTGTTTTCACTTCAGATTCCAGCATCTGGAGTAAATTTGCTCCTGTAATGTAGGTTTGAAATCTCCATTGTCTGCAATAATGAATGGACTGAGTGAATAAGGAAAATCAGAAGAGAATTTATAAATTCCAGAGTTTGTTCTTCTGTCTAAGATACAACAATACCTTCAGAACTTGAGATTTTTCTTAATCTTTCCTGGAATGTGAATGCTGCTGGCAAGGTTCTTCCCTATTCATAATTGCATTGATAATGTGATGGTGAGCCACTGCCTTGAAAGTGAGCCAGTGTCTTGAACCACTGCAGTACATCTGGTGTTGGTGCATCCACCGTGCAATTAGAAAGCAAGTTCCAGGTTTTTAATTATTGTTATAATTGTATAGTTATAAGTCAGGATGGTGTGTGACTTGGGGTACTTGTGGTTGGTTGTTGCTCAGTGCCCTTTTTGTCTAGGTGGCAGAGATTGCAGGTTTGGAAGGTGCCATTGAAGGAGTCTTGGTGAGTTGGCTGCAGTGCATCTTGTATTTGGTGCACATTGCAGTTACTGTGCATCAAAGGTGGAAGAAGTGAATGTTTAAGATGGTGGATGTGGTTTCAATCAGCAGGCTGTGGAGTGAGAATAGAGGTAAGAAAAATATACTGCGTTGTTTTCTTCAAAAAATTGATAAACCACCGTGAATTGACAATTTTGATATACAGTGGTTGTATCCTGTAAAGGTTATGGCATATAGTCAAGGTAACACATAAACCAGAGTGTGGATAATGGCTTTTCCGAAATGCTTAATATCAAAGGGTTCTACAGCTGTATCAAGGTGTAAGTAGACTCTCCAGCATTGAATAATGAAATAACACTTAACTCTTCTAAAAAAAAAGCTTTAAAAAAGTTGTGGTGTTTCATAGGAAGATTTAAAAAACACACACATGAATTGAAAGACCCCTCCAGGCTTGTTCCAAAAGTTCAGTTGCTGATTTCCTCACACATCAATTCATTTTCTACCCATTCTGGAGAAGGTTAACATTATCCACTACAAATCAATATCCGTGCTTGTGACCTTGTTGTGGCTAACTTACCACAAGCTATCTTTAAATCAGCTATATATTAATAAATCTCACAGGCAATCAATTACTGAAAGCATTATTCAAACTTTATTGCATGTAGCAACCAAAACATGACCCTCAAGTAAGCAAGTTAAGCCTCACGACCCAACATAGCTATTACCTGATTAATGGTGGATTTCAGCCACTATTCGAACCAAAAGTGTCTGTCCCTAGATATGTCGAGGGTTTGATTCTTGTGAGGTGATGTTCTCCAGAGTAACCTTTCTGCCTCCATACCACCACCTCTCCTAAAAACCTACATTTTTGTCCAAGCTATTGATTATCTTTTCTAAGATCTCCTTGCACGGCATTATGTCAAAGTTTGTTTGTTAATAACTTTATAATGCTTTGGGATGATTAACTACAGGCACTGTACAAATGCAATTTGTGACTCCGTGGCAATTTTTTTTGTTGTAGCTAGTTGTGCACATTTGGAGCCGACTCGACCAAAATGGCCTTGACACCTTAACGTTTGACGCACTCGGTGGCAGAGTTAATTGCGTGTAGTATGAATTACTACATGTGAACATCACTAAATAACTGCCATCTGATCCTTCACTCTGAACAGAGTGGAACTTTTTTTTCCAGAAATGAGAAGGCTAAGAGATAAAATTGAAGGTGTTCAGTAAAGTAGATGTAGTGAAAGTACTGCCACTTGTGAGGAAAACCAAAACTAGAAATCATAAATATTGGATCATCAGTAATAAATCTAACAGTAAATTCAGGAGTAACCTCTTTACCCAGACAGTGTCTATAATTTGAAACTTACTACCACGTGAAGTAGTTTAGATTAATGGAAGAGATGCATTTAAAGGGAAGTTAGTTAAATATATAAGGTAGACATGAATGGAAGATCTGCTGACTGGATGTAATGAAATTTGGCTGGAGGAGACTCACATACAGCATAAACATCAGCATAGATCACTTGGTCAAAATAACTTGCATCTGTACTGTAAATTCATTGTAATACTATGTCATATACAGAAGAACAAGGTTAGGTCATTGTTTGTGTTGTTCCAATATTAATTAAATGTTGTTGCATGTTAGGATACCAAAACAAACATGAGCATAAAGCATCCATTAAGTAAGCAATGATCTTACAGAGCAACAATCACAATTAAGTCAACATTTTGGAGCTAATCACTTGACTTGGGATGGTGAATTGAATATATTATTTTGAAGTTATTATTATAAAAGTTAATGGCTTTTTCAATTTATTTGTGCTGACATTTTGCATTATCTGCAATGGTAATGATCTCCTTGCTGTTCTTGTTCCCAACTTCGCTTTTCAGATAAGCGGAAGGGTAGTGATGTGTCTGGGAATGCAGCAAAACGTCAGAAAGGAGATATCCCTGTAGAGCATCCTCCCTTCTACTACAGCATCCATCGGCACAGTATTCGAGGAATGAACATTCCAAAGTAAGGCATTCCAGGTTTTTCTTTTTTTTGATCACTTTCAAGTGCCTCCATACCAAGATTTCACCAGTCAGTTTGGCTGCAGCAACAGCAGGCAATATCTGCTAAGTATGTGTATTGAACACATGGGGGATAAGTCAGCAGTTAAAACTGCTCTTTCTTTAATGAGGAACTTTGTGGTGTCTACTGATACGGCTGTTCCTGAAGTCCTATTAAGTAGTCAAAAATTATGGAATACTGTATTCATAAGAAATATTGTCAGATATTAGATTTTGGCTGGAAACCAAATCAAAATTTATATTTATGCATTAAGAATTAAGTACATGCCCCTTCCACTATTCAATATGCATCTGTTTCAAATTTAAGTTCTTGCATCAGATGACTTCCAGGTCTATCAATCAGTAGCTTAGTGAATTATAGTACAAAAAAGTGATGTTGAAGTGACTGCTTTCTTGATGTAGTGAATTGTATTTTTAACTGATGAAAAAGGGAGAAAAATTAGGAGGGAGCATAAAATACATTTAAAAATACTCTGATTCAGTTACAGCTCTTCAGTACATATTTAGTTCCCTATTTAAGTAATACTTCTGTCAAAACAGCTCTTAGCAAAACATGAATTATGGATTTGTCATAGTCACCCTAATGTATTAACCTCCTATGATCTATCTCCAGTTACTGACGTATTTATCTACACCATTCTACTCCAAGCCACATCTTTGTTCACCTCTGTAGGATTGCTCTTGTTTGGTTACAGTATGATCACTTTGATTGTAGCCAGAGCATCTGCAGCTGACGTCTTTTCTTGCCCTGTCTTATCTTCTTCCAATTCCCCCAAAGTTCTATCCTTGCTCCTTTTGCCCTTCCTGATGTGATTGTTTGGCAACAAAATCTTCAGATATGAATTTAGATTCCTTAGAAACAACTATGGCTTCCAGCTGTACACTTTGCCACTCCTTTCAACTCCTGTATAAATCATATGTTGACTGATTATTTATCAAACATGCAATTGTTGATGAACTATAATTTCCACCACCTAAATGTTCTGAAAACTAAGGTGATGTCTTTCAGGAAAGAAAATCTGCTATTTGTATATCTGATTTAGCATAAAAGTGACTACAGACCTGAAGCAATGTAGTTGGCCCTCTGAAATGACTAAGCAAGCACTTAGTTGTATCAAATACAGAATGGTGGAAAAGGAATAAAACTAGTCAGACCATCCAGAATTGACCTCGGCATGTAAAGTCCTCCTTAGCTTCTAGGAGCTTGTAACAAAATTGGAAGAACTGTCCTAAAGACCCTTGAGCAGTTGCCTGACATAGTTTTAATTATCGGATCATATTTTACAGCCAATATCCCAGACGCCTTCATCACGATTCTTTGGTATGTCCAATCCCACTGATAGATCAGACCCACCAGAGGTAGTAGTGCTGTTGGGTGGGAGTTGCCCTCAAAGTTCTCAGCAGTCAGTACAGTTCTATGAAGTGTGTGGCATAGGGTGAAACGTAGGCAAGTTTGCCTCCCACTGATTACCATTTACTGCTGTCCTTTAGCTGATAAATCAGAACTTTTGTGTTGAATACCACTTGGAAGAAGTACTGAGGTTATCAAGGTACAGAATGCTCTCTGTTTGAGGGACTACAATGCCAGTCACCAAGGGTGGCTCAGTGGCATCATTCAGCAGAGTCTCAGAAAACATATCTTCCAGTCTGGGACTATGACAGGTGGTGATGGAACCAACAAGAGGGGGAAAAGTCCTTTTTGACCTCAATGTCACCAATCTATCACACTGGAATGTATCTATTCACAACAGTATCAATTAGAGAGACCATTGTTTAATCATTGTGGAGATAAAGACCTGGTTTCACAGTAACAATACCAAAATGTTGCTGTTGATTGTTGGATGGCAATCATCTCAGCCCAGGGTGTCGCTGCAGCTATTCATCAGGATGATGTCCAAGGCCCAACCCTGTTCAGCTGTTTCAGTGACTTTCATAAGAATAGAATTGAACAAAGAACAGTACAGCACAGTACAGGCCCTTCGGCCCGCGATGTTGTGCCGAATTTTTACCCTAATCCTAAAGTCTACCTAACCTCCACCCCTACCTTATACTATCATCCATATGCCTATCTAATAGCCGTTTAAATGCCCCTAATGAGGCCGACTCCACTACCCGCCCCGGCAGGTATTCATTGATTATTGCTCAGGCTTGAGTAGCATTTGTGTCTTCTCAGATACTGAATCAATCCATGTCAAAGTGCAGCAAGAGCTGGAAAGCATTGAGGCTTAGATTGATAAATCAGTAAGACTTTGACCCAACAAGTGCAATGCAGAGGCCATCTCCAACAAAAGAAAACCTTACCATCTCCCCTTGACATTCAAGAGCATTAACCATCACTGAATACCTACTAACAACATCCTACGGGTTACCATTGACCAGAAACTAAACTTGACCAGCCATATGAATACAGTGTTTACAAGAGCAAGTCTGAGGCTGGGAGTTCTGCAGCAAATAACCCACCCCCTGACTCCCCAAAGTTTGTCCAGCATCTACAAGGTACAAAAACAGAAATTGCTGGAAAAGCTCAGCAGGTCTGGCAGTACCTGTGGAGAGAAATCGAGTTAACATATTGGGTCAAGAGAGTCTTCCTCAGAACTGATGGTAGCTATGAAAATGTTGGTTTATATGCATAGGATAGGCTGGCCGAAGAGATAAGGAGTAAATGATAGGTGGGGATAGAGCCCAAAGGGTGAGAAGAACAGTTGAACAGACAAAGGAGTGGGGAATGATCTGGCTAGGAGGGTGTCCACAAAAAAGACCCTGAGCTTCCAGTTCCTGCCACTTCAACACACCACCCTGTTCCCTTGCCAATGTGTCTGTCTCAGGTTTGCTGCAGTGCTCCTGTGAAGCTCAGTTCAAGCTGGAAGAACAGCACCTCATTTTCCACTTGGGTACCCTGCAACCTTCTGGACTTAATATCGAGTTTAACAACTTTAGGGCGAGAGCTGTCCTATGTCCTTACCCAACCTCCCCACACCAGACCCTGGTATCACACAGTTTGCTATTACACACAACCCATGATTAGCCACTAACAATCCCCATTAATAGCAATTCACCCTCCTAGCCAGATCGTTATCCAATCCTTTGTCTGTCCAACTGTTCTTCTCTCTCTTTGGGCTCTATCCCGCCCCCCCTAATGTTTACTCCTTACCAATCTCCCCACCTATTTTCTGCACATAAACCAATATTTTAGCAGCTACCATTAGTTCTGAGGAGGGGTCACTCAACCCAATAAGGTTAATTCTGATTTCTCTTCAATGCTGCCTGACCTGCTGAGTTTTTCCAGCAACTTCTATTTTTGTTTCTGATTTACAGCATCCGCAGTTCTTTCAGTTTTTATCTACAAGGTACAAGTCAGAAATACAGTGGAATATTCCACTGGCCTAGATGACTATGGTTCCAACTGCATTGAGGAACAAGCAGCCTGTTTCATGGACATCCTGCCTAACACCTTAAATGTTCCTTCCAACATCAGCACACCATGCCAACAGTGTGCACCATGTACAAAAAGCATTGCAAGAATTCACCTTCACCAGCACCTTTTAAACTTGTGACCTCTGACACTGTAAGGACAAAGGCGACAATACATGTGGAGATACCACCATCTACAAACCACATTCCATCCTGATTTGGAACTGTAATGATATTCCTTCCTTGTAGCTGGGTCATATCCTAGAATTCCCTTTGTAACAGTATAGCTGAGAGTGTACCTAGACCACATTGATTGCAGCTGTTCAAGAAGGCAGCACAGCAAAACCACCAACACCTCAAGGCAAGAGTGCTATCCTTGCTAGTGATGCTCCCATCCCATGAAATCATTAACCAAAATAGCCCTTGCTACAAATGCTTGTACCCTTTCTAGTGAAGCAATCCTATTTCTTTGTCATCATCCTGGGCTGTGCCAGATTGGTTGATTGCAACCATATCATCCTGTTTCATTTTGAGCTCATTTTCTAATTCTAAATCCCCTTTGTCTACTTGCACTTCCAATACAAAGCTCCTTTTGGCCTCCATTTCAGGCCATCTGCCTCTCAAACCCTCAGCTGTGTCTTTGTCAGGCCAGCCTCCCTTATTCTAATATTCCCTTGGTCAACCGCCCACCTTACAGCTTTGTAAACTCCAGTTTATTCAATACCACTGAGCATGTTATGTTATGCCCAGTATTGCACCTGCCTTCTTCTCCCATCATGCATGTTCTCACCAACCTGCTTTGGATTCCAGTTTTCCAGAACCCCAGACTTAAAATTCAAATTATTTTATTAACCTCCATATTTCTGTCCACTTTATCTTAGACTGAGACCCTACTTAATTTTTCCTTCGGCTCAGTTCCTTTTTTTTTTGATACTTTACACCACTGTAAAACTGCTTGAAACATGCATTTAACATCAAATGTTTTATTATATTAGCTTAACATAGACCTAACATTAGCTTGTTAGTACATTAAAAACTCTCATATTTTAGGTTAGTGCAAGTCAAAGGAAAGTATTAGCTTACAACTTTGTTACTTGGAAGATATTCCACTATTAAGACAATAGCATGTTCAGCATTTCACCTTTTTCCTATTCAATTGTTTTCTTGTAATTATTTAAATGTTTCCTCATTCTCTTTTGAATATATTCTGTATTGTAACTTTCTTTAATAGAATCATTTTAATTAACTTTGTTCCACTGCCATACAGAGATGTAAGCAACACCAAAATGCTTGATTTAAATGACAGAGTAACAAGCCGTTTTAAGTTTCTCCAGTGATTAATCTGATGGCATCAGAGATATCTGTGCACAATTTTGCAACGTTTTTACATATTGAACCAAGAAGAACTGCAATGGAATGAGTTCCCGCATGTGCGGAAGACTAATGTGTTTGTATTTATAGCACAGTTTTTAATGTTGACGCTGTACATGAAAATCCACCCAGTGAGAATGAAGGAAGATATAAAATATCCTTGGCATGTAAATGTAACCATAAATCGTTACATGTACTTCACACAAGCCCCTTCAAAACCAAAATGCTCCATGCACCAGAATAACTGAAGAGCATGACTTTGCAAGTTGAAAAGTCCAGCAGAACTGGACTTCCAAGTCCTTGGTAACCAAACTGCTAGTTGTCATTGAACCATCTTGAGTTCCACTGGTCTTTTAAATCCAGCATGCTGCTTCACTAATAAGAGGAATGTAGCTGATAAGCAGAAAGTACTCTAGAATAAGACAAAAAAAACTGCAGATGCTGGAATCCAAGCTAAGAAGGGTAATACCCAAAAGGTTGACTGCTCCTTTCCTCCAGATGCTGCCTGGCCTGGTGTGTTCTTCCAGCCTCCTGTTTGTCTACCTTCTCGTTTAGAATGTTGGACAACAAATTGTGGGTATTGGTAATGTGGGACCATTTTATAATTTTTTTAATCATGCACGTTGTTAGAAATTTAATTCAGAAAGCTCCTTATGATTTTTGAGAGAGATTTTCAATATATATGTGCTTTTCTCTAACTGCCAGATTCTGACCCCTACCCATCCCTTTTCTGAAATGTATCTCATTCAAATTAGAGAGTAATTTGCTATTTTACTAAAGGTACCAAGGAGAGAAGATCCAATGCTATAGTACATACAAGTAGTTCATGCAGTTTCAAGGGATGCAAAAATAATTCATGATATTTAAATTATAAATTTGCCTATGTATCAACTTGTTACAGGGCTAAGAAATCAAAAAAAGCACATTATGAAGTTTCAGAAGCTGCAAGTTGTGAGCAGTGTTTTTTTTAATCATTCCAAATACCTTTTTTCCTTTCAATTATAGTACAGTATTGAAAATGATCTGTTTGTCATTTTTGTACCGTGCAGTTGCTACCTGGCCTGTATATTTCATGAGCTACTCTAGCATATTGCATTCCAGAGGTTTTTAAAAGAATCTAAAAGAAGCTAATTGTTTCTACAGGATAAACAAATTTCTACCCTATCTTACACAAGCTGGATTTCGTGTTGGGCGTACCCATTTTGATCCAACAGGAATCCGTACAGATGCCACACTTGCACAATTGAAAGCCATACTCATGAAGTACAGTCTGCCAACGCATACTGACAGTCAACCTGGAATTCACAGTCATGCTTCAGCAGAACCTATTTCAGAACCTGTGCAATATTCAATTCCAGAGGCACTTGAAGTTGATCAGCCTGCTGAAGAAGTCAAACCTGAGTCAGGATAAATCAAGTTTGATCCTGCATGATCTAAATTAACCATTGTACCCCTCCATTGAGGTCAGATTTGCAGCTCATCACTTGATTGTTGCATCGTTGAAGAGCCAACACTGATGGTTCACAAATCAATGTGCATTATATGTAAAATTGATTTTAAGATTGATTTTAATCTTTGTATAGAAGAATATGATATATTATTCATCAGTTGTGCACAGATATTAGATTTATCTTGATGCTGTTGAGTCCTAAATATTAAAGAGAATGTTTTCACTTCATTTACTTGACTTCATTAATTCTCAAAGTACAGCAATTAAGAATTTGCTTGTCAGGTATGTAATACTTTTTGAGATAACAAGGTGTAGAGCTGGATGAACACAGCAGGCCAAGCAGTATCAGAGGAGCAGGAATGCTAACGTTTCGGGCCTAGACCTTTCTTCAGAAATTTCTGAAGAAGGGACTAGGCCTGAAATGTTAGCCTTCCTGCTCCTGAAAATGCTGCTTGGCCTGCTGTGTTCATCCAGCTCTACACCTTGTTATCTCAGATTCTCCAGCATCTGCAGTTCCTACTATCTATGTAATACTTTTTTCTAATTTTTATGAGGAAGCAATAATTAGAAAAGACGCACACCTACACAAAAGAAAGTTCCAATTGGAACGTCGCTCTGTATTATGTGTTAGTGCCGACTCCACCATAGAGGAGTTGTTTTCTGTTCAGAACTTGCAACTAGTGTGTTGAAAGTAAAAGGAAGCCAGCTGAAACTGTAACTTGAAGATAAATTGTTTTTTTTTCCTTTTGTATTTACAAGTTTGCTGAAAAACAGGATTTTTTGGTTCAGCATCTATCTTAGAAACTTTCACATTGAGAGTTCTGTTCAAATTGTAACTGCTGGAGTAACATTTTTGTACATTGTGTTGAGTATCGTTCTTGCACCCATTGCAAATGTTCTTTCATTATGATAGCCACAAACTGAGTGAGATGCTAAATACCTTGTTGCAGTCCTCACTGGGCTGCTTATTGTAAATTTTGATAAACTGAACCAACGAATCATTAGCATCTATAGTCTTTTACTGCTGAGAATTCATGTTTCTGTACATTGTTACATATTTCACTCAAGCGAATTAAATAGCATTGTTTACAAAAGCATCTATTGAACTCTATTAAGATCATAAGCATGCCTGCTTTGATATTTTTTGTGGTTATTCTGATTTTGTATCAGAATATTTATGTAAAACAAATCACCTAAAGACCAATGTTTTATGAAGTTTTTAAGAACAGTTTCAGCACTTTTCTACTATTGTTTGCCATGTTGAACTGTCCGGTTCCAAAGCACCTTGCGGATGGAGTTTTAAGAGTGAAACGTATGGTACCATGCAGCATTACAAGGAGTTATATTGAAATACATGGCACCATGTAGTTAATAGCTATATGTTCAATCGCTTGACTTCACCCCATCCAAGAGGATACACATGTAGAGACCAAGCACATCTTCAAATGATGGAGAATTATTTCTACCTTTATACCTCATGCCAGCTGTTCGAGGTGGACTGACCAGTGTTTAGAAAGAGGTTAAGCCTTCACTCGTAGATATTTCAAATAACAGGAGAAAAGGAAACACTTTCATCCTCCAAAGCAACAAGCATACGGTTTAAGGGAGCATATTTCATTTGTTGTTCTTGTCTTAAAAGTCTTAGAACAGCTTTTGATTTATGAATCCAAGTTGTCTGCCAAACCTAGGAATATAAAATTAAAATTAAATTTAAACTGCTTTTGAAGCAAAAGACAAATTTTAAAATGCTGCAGGCCACCCATCATCTGTGGAAATAATTGACTATTTAAGGATCTCCACTTTGAACAGAAAGCAAAAGCCTGTTCACTGCCTCCAAGGCCAAGTTCAGGAGTGTGTTGAAACGCTCTCCAATTGTCTGGATGGATGCAATTCCAATAATACTGAAAGTGATTGACAGCATCCAGGACAAAGCAGCCAACTTGATCAGCACTTTAAGCATTCACTTCCTCCATCACCATTACATAGTGGCAGAATATATGCACAGCTACAACATGCACTGCAGCAACTCACCAAAGTTTCTTTGACAGAATCTTTGCATTTTAGAAGGTTACGAGCAGCAGATATGCAGGAACACGAGCTCCCCTCCAGTTTTAGATTGAAATTATGTTACTGTTGCTTCTTTTTCACCAGGTCAAAAACTTAGTACTAAGAGTGTAGATACATCACATGGACTGCACAATTCAAGAAGGCAGCTCAACCACCTTCTAAACAACAACTGGGGATGGGCAACTAAATACTGATCTAGCCAACAGTGCCTTTGTCCCATTCACACTGTTTATTAACTACCCCTGTTATACCAGAGGCATCCAACATAGACACAATTTTCCACATTGGGGAATTATTCACTAATAGAACAAAAATGTGCATACACTGATAAATACTTAGAAGACACACAATAAGGGAAGAAAATATGGAAAATAATTCAACTCTTGGTCGAAACAGTCCTAGTAGAATAGAATGTGATGGGGTTGCACATCAGGAAGAAAAATAGGTTTCATTAGCAGAATGACTACTATTTTAGCATGGAAATAAAATTATTTTACTGTCTCACATTGAAGCTGGATTCAAAAATAATAGTTCATAAGGAAAGCATCTAATGAAGGAAAACAAAAGATGTTACAGACAGTGCCAATGGGACAAAATATTGAATTTCAGGCATAATACCTGGTCATTTATCCTTTCTGACTTTATGACAATTTCTTATAAAACTTTTGATAAAGTGCCATTTTATACCCATAAAGTGTTCAGAATTGAATAAAAATGATGCAAAACTGGTGGTCAATATAAGTTCAGAAGTGAAATAAACATTGGCAGTACAAAGGAAGGTCAATTCCTGACCATACTGTAGGAAGATGAAGGTAATACGTCAGAAACACATGATCAAAGGATGGAAACCTCTTTTAGTCACGATTGTCAAAAGCAACATTAAAATGTCAAAATATGCTCATCATTAGAGGCAAAGGGTCACATGCAATAGCAAAGAGGCATTCAGTGAGGGAAGGAATGAATATAACAATAGATGAACATAGATTAAGATCCACAGCAAAGGAGCCATGGACCCACTCACAGAAAACATAGCTGTTCACTAAATATTCTAATAAATAAAATATAAATGAAACACAAAATACTCACCTCTGAAACAATGTTACTGTTTTCAAAATCTTCTGGTGGAGCCAGCAGCTGGAAAGTTTCATATGATTTGTCCCTGAATGTGAACCAGGAGAAGAAGTCGGCAATTGGTGCAGTGTGATGATATCACTGAACAGGTGCTTATTAGCAATGACATCAGCATATAGCATTACATAGATTAGTCAACGAAGAAACAAGTCATTTGCTCCAACCAGTGAATGTCACCATTTATGCTCCACTCAGAGCACTGAACTGATCTTTCTCTAAATCTACTGTTATAATCCTCTACTCTCCTCTTCGAATATATTTGTCTTGCTTCCACTTAGATGCATCTGTATTTTAAGGAGATAGCAACATAGTTGTAATGTCACTGGTAATCCAGAGGCTGAGGCTAATACTTTGAGGCCCCATATGGGCTCATTATGTTAGTTGATTTCACTAACTGAAAGCTAGTCTCAGTAATGATGCATGAAATTATCATTGGTTGGTGTAAAAGTCCATCTGATTTGTTCATGTTTTTTAGGGAAGGAAACTTGTCCTAAATTAGTCTGACCACTTCTGACCCCAGGACCATAGCAATTGGATTGGCTGTTAACATTCCTCTAAAATGACCTTGCAAGCCATTCATTCAAGAGCTATTAGGGGCAAACAATTAAGCTGTTTGCCAGCAAAGCACAAAAATCAACAAATAAATTCTCTGTCGAATTTCATGGTGATTAGCTTTTATCAATGGGGTCTAGTTATGAAACAATCTCTGTATCCAGTTTTATCACCACACACACGCCTCTGGAACCTATGCAGGTTTGTACTGGCATAGATGAATTAGCTATTGGGTGGCTTCTCATGAGATTGCGAATGGGAGAAACTATGCTTGTGTAGGCAGACGCAGCACAAGGTGAGTGCAGAGACACCTTCCAATCAGTGGCAGAAGTTACTGTATTCTCAAACCACTGATTTATTTGTTCTACCACACTCCCAGTGGCACTATTCACATCATGTGCAGACAGGTGGCAGAGGGCAGACATGAACCAGGTGCAGAGCAAATAACCTTTCTCAGCCTCTGATTCACCTGCTATGACTCTGCTTCATTGCTGCTATCAAGGTGCACAATGTGATATTCTGTGTATAGTCATGACCAACTTTGCGTTTATGGAGTAGCAACCCTCGATTGCAGTACATCTTTCCATTTATATGTGAAGCCATATGCATGGAGTCAATAGCACTCTGCACTATTTGAATCCCAGCAGCCTGACAAAGTCATGTATTCATTCCATTAAGAGAGTTGACCATTCAAGACCCTATGCTGGGCCTTTGTTATCTCCTGGTGCAGCTATGCACAGTGAATGTTGAAATGTTCTAAATTTAACCTGCTCCCACCTGGATAAATCTACCGGTACAAGAATCGAGGAGTACAATCTTCAGAAGTACTGACATGTCATCCTTGTCCAGCTGTGCAAGGTTAGTATTATTGCAGGAGATATTGATCAATTACAGCCATCTTTGATATTGGTCTTGGCCAAGTTGGAGGTAGGAGTGCTGTCTTTGACCTTCGCAGTGTACAGCCTTCAACTGAGAACTTCACAAATCCTCCCTTTACATACAACGTCTCCCTCCCCATTGTCCAATGTCCCCCCATGAAAAATAAGGCATAAAATTGGGATTATTTTCATCTTCCATTAGAAAAATTCCCTTAAGCCTTGAAAATAACATTACAGGATAAGTCTGCCATTTTACAGTGAATTGCACCAGATTGGTGAGGGCATAAGTGTTCTGTGTTAGTGTTTGCATGAAGCATACAGAACAGCCAATACTGATCTGATACCAACAGTACCATTTAGAGATTGATATTTTCTAATCAATCTGATACAGAGATATTATGACACACCTCTGGAGCAGGTGGGACTACCATTGCTCCAAAGGAGCCCATCATTTTGTCCTAACCTGAGACAGCTGCTCGCACATTCAGTCACAGAAACGATCCCCACTCCTTAGAGGGATCATCAACTAATTACAGTTCAGCTATTAGTTGCTGTCTTCTAACTATTGCCATTTTCTATTTGGCATTCTCTGGATACAAAACTTCACTCCTCCTTTTAATTTTCTTCATCAAAGGCTTCCAGTGCAGTTTCTGAAAATATTAAGGCCCAATCTCTTCCATGAAGTGCTAGTTTTCAATGTTTTGCAGGTAAGATTTACTTTCTGCATCCAGCTACAATGCACCTTCTCTTGCAGTGGTGCAGACTCGCTTTAAGCGGTGCAGGCTATTGTGCTTAAAGCCATTCACAATATTGGTTCCCAGCTGATGCACCCAACGAAATAGCAGTTTACAAACAGTGTCTCCCTCCCCGTTGTTCAATGTTTCCCTGTGAAAAATAAGGCATAAAATTGGGATTTTAAATAATTTAATTTGAATTTTATTTAAAATTTAAGATTGCAGTCACAGATATAAGCAGGCTATTTAGAATAGAAAAGCTATCTGAACCAATATGCCTCCTCTGGCCTGCCATAGTCATCCGACCTTCACCATGAGGCACTACTACCTTGCAGCTAGTTTCAATAAGGTCATACTATTGCCTTGACAAGCTTACAACACAAACAATATGTAGCTGGCATGCTAACTGCATTGTCTAGGTTAATCAGGCATTGCAAACTCTGCACATGTTCCCAGAGGTGACTGAATTTAACTCCATATGTTTTAATTTGTTCTTAATCATTTAGAAATTACCTCTCAGCCTCACTCCTGGAAATAGAAATAAAACCATTTCACAGGAAATACTGAATGTTCAGTTGGTGAAATTAAGCAAGCAATTTAAGTCAGGTGTGTACTAGAATCAAAGATTGGAGCTACTCTATATAAGTAACTGTGTTAGTCTCATGCCTTTGGCATGGAACGTGGGTTCAAAAATTGCATCAATAAAACACTTAAACTTTGATCCTAGAATAGCTG